GACCTTGAACTCTTCTGACTTGTAGTCGAGTGTTCGTGGGAATAGCACCCGTGATTGGTGAATAAGTCACAAAAACCAATCACGCACGCATGATGTACGCCAACGCTTTCTAGTGGAAACTCTCTGAATATGAAAAAAATATTTGCAATCGAAATAATTTATACCGCTGGAGACTTTTCTAGATGAGCTCCAAGCTCCGATTCCACTTCTAGTAGAACTTTGGCTCGAAAAGATCCCTTCGAAGAGGGTTGGCGCGAGATCCCTGCTTCGTCAATTTCACTTTACTACTCACTGCATTTGGCAGTAATGCGTGGCAGTATGTCGTCGTCCAAAAACCGATCCATAACAGCGGCATACGCAAATTGTCGCTTTCCGTCCAACGTTGACGGCTTTCAATCAAAGCCACTCAGATTCCAGGTTTCATTTCTGACCCCCCGTCAATTTTCAGTAAGCAAGATTACATCTGTCGAAAGCCGTTTGGGATAATAAGCGTTTGGGCAAAAAATTCCCCGGGAAAACTTTCCCAAGCAGAAAGTTAGCCTTACTCCATTCAATTTGGTAGATACGATTACTTTTTCATGCGTAAGTAATCGTAACGATAAAAACATTGAAACTTGATGTTTAATGTGTAATCTATGGCACTGAAATAGTAACAAACAAGTAAGGAGCTGGGTGAAAACAAATGCGGTCTGATGTCATTGAAATGCGCCAGGAACCATTGAATTCTCTACGTGATGCCTAGCTGGCATACAAAATCGGCTACCCGTCCAACTTTCATGAATTTCACCTTGAGAAGTCCTCTGGGGTTTGAGTTTGCAGTAAAGTAATGAACTTGAGTCATTAACTTCTTAGAAGGCTTCCAGGAAAAATTTCCCTAAAGCCAGTGGTTTAACTCGTTTTTCTGCAGCTTCGAGGCTTGTATGGCCCCCATTCCTGACAAAATTGTCTTGTTTATGTGGAATTTTAAACAAATGGCCATAAATATCTCACGAAAATATCTCAATGAGACCAACAAAAAGCTGGCCAGCTGTGGCCCCACATTCCTATGGAATAGCCCACATTATTATTGCATGATATTAAGCAGTAGATATGTCAAAAACATGCTCGTTTCACTTGATCGCGTTCACTGAAGCAATTGTTGATGGAGGGGGAAGCCCGTAGCAACCCGAAATAGTCTGCTGGAAAACTTACTCTCATACTCTCTCTCTACATACTGGATAATCTCGTATACAACAAAGGAAAGTGATTTATGAACTGTTTACGCAGTTATTCAGCAGAATAGAGTGAGTAAACAGACAGATTTGTGGTCCACAGTTTGCAGAGATTTCTAAAAATGGTGGAAAAGATAAGCGGATAAAAATCGTAGGTAGTGAAGAGCTCTTTGAAGGCTTATTGACCTGGACGAGCTCCAATGACTACATGTGGTGTTCGATTCCTTTAACTGCTGTAATAATTTTGGTTATAAAAAGTAGTACTTTAGAACATGTTGCTATTGGGAACCATAGAAACATGCCATTGACATGTTTCTATGGTTTCTAATAGGTACTGAATGCATGGCCCATCTCAAAAATGATTCATTTACTAGAGGACAGTTTACTTACTTATTCTTCGATCCTAAAGTTGACAGCCATTGTAAATAACAGATCGTGCACTTGAGAACAGTCGAGAGTACATGGCGTAGTCAGTGGGAAGCCCATAGAAAATGGAATGAGCCCCCGGAGCCTTTTCTTGAAAAGCCGCAAGAGCAGCAAAATCGAGTTCTGCTTTTCTGACTTTATGTCGTCTTGAATCAGGCGTCATTACAGTCCGCATGGTGGAACATTGGAGCATCAGCTCTTTGTAAAACTACCACTCACTTGCCAGAATATAAGCCAGTTCCATTTTAACTTGTTTTTTCTTTGCATCGTGATTATTCCTACCGGATAAGGTAGTACAAACTTGAGGAGCAATAAGACATGTTTACTAATTAGAACCAGTTACAAACCCAAACAATTAATAGAAATATATTATAAATGTGTTATAGTAAGGATATAAGTCTAAGACGACTATCTAGACTATCTGGAGGAAGGACAACGACTACCAGTAGGTACTGCGAACCGAGGAAAGAAGGCGAAATTCTCAACTAAACTTCTGGAATCTACATGTAACTGACTCAGATCTGCAGATCCATCACAGTACTTATAACTCATTACTTCTGCTTACTAGAAATCCTTCAATTTTGTAAGTACTTTCAGGAGAAATCAAGAAAAGGATCTTCGTGAAGTTTTGTCCCATATACAGTAGCGCTCAAAAGTCATCGGTGAAATGCTTTGACGCTTTTTCGTTCATAGCTTTTTTCTTAGTAGACCAAATCACACGGAATTTGGATATGTTTAACTAGAGCATATTTCACCCTACCCAACACTATTTGACTGGAAAGCTGCAATATCCACAGATAGAGCAAGGTGTTTGTTGTGGTA